TCAATAGTCTCATGGTAAGGTTTTAGTTATATCTTTTGTTGTGTTTTACTTGAAGAATATATACGATGGTACCGATTTATGTGTTCTTATTCTTTTGGATGGTTTGTAGGGAGATAAAACCAATTATGAAGGATGCATAAGTCATGGACCATGGGGTGGATTTCATGGACGTGTTAGCACACACCTTGATGCTATTAGGATATATGTGATGCCTGAATCACTTGCACTTGGTCAAAACTCTACAACTAAAGACAATTCCATGCATGAGGTTCATTTCTTAAAGTCTCTTTCTCATATTCTTGTTCTTAACTATTTATGTTTCAAGCCTTATCTAAAAATGAATACCGATTATTCATGTTGTTTTAAAGTTAAAAATATCCTCATATATACTTGTGATTGAATTTTTTTTTCACTATAAGGGGCATTTTTTTGACTTTCCGCCGTGGGCATCCAAAATATCAGGGCCGGCCCTGAAGACAATATAAACTTTCCCAATTACAAGGGTGGTGCCTGATTGGTTTGAGCTTGGCTTCAAAGGTCAAAAGTACCGGGAGGTCCCAGTTTCAAATCCAAGGAGGAATAAAAATCCCCTTGTGGCCACGGAGGTTCAAATGCGGTGACTCCGGGCTATCTGCAACCTTGGGATTAGTCAGCTCGCATAGCGGGTTGGATATCCAGGTTAATAAAAAAAAATATATAAACTTTCCCTAGAAAAGAGAATAGGGGGAAATAAATTTTCTGTAGGTATAAGTTGTTTCAAGGTTGCTGGATGTATATGACTATATGTGATTAATCTGAGTCAATCGTTTGTGTATCGTATTGTATCATATGCTCACTCCTTCATGTAACATGAGTTCAAAGTTACCTCTTTTTAGCGTTGTCCTAAAAGATTGTTTTGTTCTTGTAAGGTTGTATACACAATTGACTAATTTACATAATGACATTTAAAAATTAAGAGGACTGCCCTGGATCCTGATTATTGCATGCTTTTCTGCTTCTATTTTTGATTGCTATCCATCCACTGCTAGTTGTTGCTATTGTTGTTGCGTTTTTTTCCCTACAAAACAACAGAAAAGTCTTACTGTTACATTTTTAGTAATGCATTTGTTTTTATCTTGGTCTTGTCCTATAATATTGAAAAGCTTTATCTTCCTGACCTTAATAACTAATAAATAGTCTCTTTCTGTAGGGTAATTTTACAAATGATCCTATGTAATTAATTTGTTTTCTTCGTTTTGGTCTGTATGACAGCAGGAAGCCATTGGCGTCAACTACAACATCCATGTGGGTGATTCAACTCTCTTCGATAGCTTTTAAGCGTGTTTGACAGTACCTTTCATTTTAGGAAATTTAGGGTTATTTTGAATTGGCCCGAAGTTTCTGTTTGGCCTCTTGCTATCCTTTCAACTGAAGGTCTGCTAATTCTGGTTTTCCACACCAACTGTTTGATGTTTCTTTATTAGAATGTTGGACGATTCACTACCAACTTTATGGTTAACTACTCAGTTTGATGGTTCTTGCTAAAAGTTGAATTTGGTTTTTACTAGTACAACCAAACAAGATGATCTGCATGTTTGTTAGAAGCACAATCATCTTTAGAGGAATTGCAGGCTATCATTTTCAACCAAAAAAACATGGCCTTTTTTTAAGTATCTTGCGGGCTGTCCATAATAGAACAGAAGCTGTTTGTGATTCGCTTCTTAGGTCGAAAGTTGAAACCACTTCTTCATGTTATGATGACAGCCTTCATCGTTCCCCATTGTATTCAAAAATTGGCGATCAATCCAATGATTACAAAATTGACATTGTTGACGATGAGACTTGGCAAGTTTCAACAGGTTTTGCGAATGCCTGGAAAGATGCTACTGCCCCATCTCTGGTAACTAACGCTTCTCATGCTCAAGTGGCTAATGATACACCTCGAAACTCAGTTGACCCTGATTTTGATKAAATTGWYGATTTGAGAATATGTGGAAATCTGTTTTATAAGCTTGACAGAGATTCAAAAGAGTATGAAGAGTACAATATTGATTTCCACAGGAGGAAATCTTCTAAAARGAAGACTGATCWGWGGGAGAGCAAGGCAAAAGAGAACCCAAATTCAACTTCGGGCWMTATGGTTGAAAATGTTTCAAAAAGAAAAGATGAGATTAGAGAAAGCAAAATGAATGGAAACCCAAGAAATAATTACGGGATTTCCATGTTTGATGAGATGGAGAWACCBGAAGGATCTTTYATTGAAAAGAAGCAAAGGGTTCCAACTTTCAATCAACTTACAGCGCCATACCATGAGCCATTTTGTTTGGATATCTACATCTCAAAAGCATCTATACGAGCGTGCATTGTTCATCGAGCAACGAGCAAAGTTGTTGCTGTTGCACATTCTATTTCTAAGGACATGAAATTTGATCTGGGTTCAACTAGAAATGCTGCTGCTTGTGCTGCTGTTGGGAAAGTATTAGCACAAAGAGCTTTGGCTGATGATATTCACAATGTGGTTTATACACCCAGAAAGGGTGAGAAATTGGAGGGGAAACTTCAAATTGTGCTTCAGTCTGTAATAAATGATGGTGTACGGGTGAAGGTGAAGATTAAAAAGACCAAAGTTCGAAAAGCTGGCTTCCGATCTGCAGATTATAAGCGTAATTAATTTGTCAGTATCTTCACCAGCTGAACAAGAGTGCTGCCTTCTCTGCTGACCAAAATAACCATTCTGTCGCTTTGGATTTTTCATAGGTTTTTGGTCCATTTATGAAAAACCATTGAGCATCTTAGAGGCTGTGATGATGAATTTGAATGCATCTGAGTGGATTCGATCAAAATCTGAGATAATCCGCATCTTGGCTGGGCAACCGGGATGGTTATGTGAGAGAAAGAAGACATGAATGTTTCTGTTCTTTGTTATTGCAACCAGTAAGTTGCAGCCATGGCGGATTTATCCTCTTTGTTGATTGTTTACATCTGAGCCTCACATATTTCAACCGACCCTGTGTTACTCATTTTCTAGAACATTTTTTTTTTATTAATCTTGATATTTAACCCGCTATGCAAGACGACTATTCCTAGGCGACCACCTGCTTTGTCGAAGGAAATTTTTATTCCTTCTTGGATTTGAACTGGGACCTTCAGACACTTTTGACCTTCAGAGCTCAAACTCAAACCAATCAGGCACCATGGTTACTGAAACATTATCGAGGCTGTGATGATATTTTTCTGCATTTGACATTTCTGAGCATGGGGTTCTCGGCACTGGGTGAAACTTGGCAAGTGTCTTGGCGGGGCAACCTGAATGGTGTTGCAGCCATGGTGGTTTCTGATCCCCTTTGTCCGAACCCAGATCTGCAGATCTGAGCCTCATCCAATTTCATTGTTCCTCCAAAAGTGGATTGAAAGGATGCATTTCGGTTTGTAATGTAAACAACTCCACACTCGGATAACATGAGGCATTTTCAGAGGGGATGAAGATGATGGTTCCTAAGGGTGGTTGGCCCTCTCTGATCGTACCAAAGTCTGATTTGACTTCATTTGGTCAAACATCATTCTTTGTGGCCAATGATTTTTTCCTGGTAATCAACAACCCTTCACATAGATTAGCAGTTTATTTGCTGTTGATGTTGCTGTTGCTGTTGTTATAATTGTTGAGAGTAAACTACACTCTTGGTCCCTCACTAAGGGCCTGTTTGTTAGCCGCTTAATGAGCTTAATGATACTCATGTCATTGCTTATTCGGTCAGCTATACATGACTGTTTTGTAGTGGCTTAATGATATAAAAAGTGTCTTATTTTGGTTGGCTATACAAACCTGTCTCTTCCAGTTAAAAAAATATGGTGCTTCTATCTATGGAAAAAACCTTCTCATGTATTAATCTGCACAGACAACTTTATCAAACTGCCCCTAAGATTTCTTGTCCATCTCTTCTATTAAATGAGTGGATTATCTTGCCAAAATATGATGGATATGCTCTTAAGAGGCTATGATGATGAACAAAGTTAGAGATAATTCGCATCTTGGCAGGGTGACCCAAATGGTTATGTGAAAGAAAGAAGACATGATTGTATTTGTTCTTCGACAATGCAACCATTTAGTTTGCAGCCTTGGCGGTTTTATCCTCTTTGTTCGATTGTTTCACAAATCTGAGCCTTGAATTTTTATTGACGTTGAAAGCTTTCTTTTTCCTCCGAGCTTCTGATCCAAGTTAGTCAGCATTCTCATTCAGAGGGAACTCAGATTTTGACTTTATTTAGTCAAACATCCTTCTTTGTGGCTGATGATTTTTTCTTGAAATCAACAACCCTTCTATTTGGAAGCTTTATCTAAACACAAGATCAACAGTTTCTTAACTGTTTTTTTTTTATTAACTTGGATATCTAACCCGCTATGCTTGTCGACTAATCAACTGTTGTTGTTGTTGGTGTTATTTAGGTATATAACCTTCTATAGATGCTCATTTTACAAATGACCTATTCTTGTGGACATTAATTTTGGGACGGAAGGAGTATTTTTGTAAAATTACAGACTACGTTCATGTGCTTTTTGGGGTTTTCAGTTTTCCGGGTTTCCTCTCTACGATTCTTTATAGTAGAGAAGATACCATTTTTAGTGATTCTAAGAGGCTGTGATGATGAATCTGAATGCATCTAAATGGATTCGATCAAAGTTAAAGATTATTCGCTTCTTGGCAGGGCAACCATTTGCAGCCATGGGGGATTTATCTTCTTTGTGTGATTATTTACAGATCTGAGCCTCACATTCTTTAAAAATCACCCCCATCTTAAACTACAGTTTTCGTCCATGTGGTTTACATCCACAACATTCCTGAACTTAATTAAGTAGAGTAATGGTCACTGTGGGTTACATTTTGAGGCTGGCGATTGTGGCGTAAGAATTAAGATATTGAATTGGCTTAAGGGTTAAGATATTACTTAGAATAAGTGGCGATTTGATCGTGATCAAATGTGATTTCAATGTAGAATCATACGTGTTTTAGTTATTTTCGTGTTTTGATATTTTTTTAGTTTGATCCTCTCTCTCTCTATGTGTGTCTCTTAAAATGTATAATTTAGCCATGATTTAATAAACTTGGTGAGTGGAAATCGATTTTGTACGATATATTTAATCGAAAATTAAACATGCACTACCAGAAAATTGCATTTTATAGGACATCAAAATTAACCATGGGTGTTTGGGATTGCTTATAAAAATAGCTTATTGACTTATTTCGGTGTGACACCGGTAATAAGTATTTTTGAGTGTTTGGATAAACAATTTATACCGGTGTCAAACTGGTAATAACGAATTTTTTAAGAAGTCAAATTCTTCTAATTTATAATAAGTTGATAAGTGATTTTGTAATATATATATATATATATATATATATATATATATATATATATAAGTTGGTTCAAATAAACAATCTTAAACACCCCTTAATAAAACATTTTATTTTAAAAGGTGTCCTAAATTTTTTGGTAAGACATACAAAAAAGTCATATAACCTTACTAAAATACTTTAGATATGATGCTTCATTGTTTTGGTCTTTTAAACCTAATTATTTTATAACCAATAAAATTGTATGAAAAGATGGTGGTTCAATGCGATGTTATTTAAGACGGAGTTTGAACACAAATGTAGGCTAAGTAAATCAATGGGCAATCTTGGTCCTATTGAAAATGCCAGTGAAAGTAAAGATCGAAACAAAAATGATACGGATAAAAAACATTCAGAGTTGGGGTGGTCATAACAGTTACAGTAATGTTGATCTTATTTTTTGCGTCAAGGACATTTGGATATATATATAGAGAGAGAGAGAGATTGGTTATTATACAAACTTTGACATTTGTGCAACCGATACAATTCAATCTCAATCGTACATTTCATTTGATTAATATGTGATTTCATAGAAGTTTTTATTGTTTCCTAATATAAAGTATCGATCATAATTAATGAACCATATTCATCTTCCATAAATATTCAAATCATAATGAATGAACTCTAATCATTTCCATAAATATATCAATATATTGGGTTGCATTGGTTGTACAAATGCAATGAGTTTTATTTGAAACAAACTCTCTCTCTCTCTCTCTCTCTCTCTCTCTCTATATATATATATATATATATAGATTGGTTATTATACAACCTTTAACATTTGTGCAACCAATACAACTCAATCTCAACCGTCCATTTCATTTAATTAATATGTGATTTCATAGAAGTTTTTATTGTTTCATAATATAAAGTATCGATCATAATTAATGAACCATATTCATCTTCCATAAATATTCAAATCATAATAAATGAACTTTCATCATTTCCATAAATATCTCAATATATTGGGTTGCATTGGTTGTACAAATGCGATGAGTTGTATTTGAAACAAACTCTCTCTCTCTCTCTCTCTCTCTCTCTATATATATATATATATATCTATACTATCTTATAAAACATTTGGCTAAAACTCTTAAAAACTCTTAAACCCGTTTATCCCTAAACGATTTCATCTCATATCTGAATTCATGTAACTAACTGCAGATAATAAAACCAATCTTTACTTAAAATCAAGATTACAAGTAAATTATGCAAAAGTACAACTTATCAAAGCTTGATTTTTGAGTTCGTATAACTAACTACGGATAAACATAATCAAATAGAGGATAAACATCTCATTTTAAAATATAAAAAATCTAAAATATAATTAGGATAATTATCGAGTTCCAACAAAATAATTAATTATTATCTTTATAAGAAAATTATATTATTAAACCAAATATAAATTACTTCGTTATTGTACCTAAATTAATTATAATAAAAAATTGAATTAAAAAATTACACAAAAAATAAGGAATTTTAAATAATTAATTTGATACGAATATCGATATATTTTTGTTATGCATAAAGTACTGTATATAGATGCATATTACTTTAAATTCAAGATTACAAGTAATTATGCATAAGTACAACTTATTAAAGCTCGATGTTTGAAATTCGTATAAATAACTGCGGATAAACATAATCAAATAGATGATGAACATCTCATTTTAAAATATAAAAAATCTTAAATATAATTAGAATAATTATCGAGTTCCAACAAAATAAATAATTATTATCTTTATAAAAAATTATATTATTAAACCAAATATAAATTACTTCGTTATTATACATAAATTAAATTATAAAAATATTGAATTAAAAAATTACACAAAAAAATGAGGAATTCTAAATAGTTAATTTGATACTAATATCGATATATTTTAGTCAAATTTTTTTGATATCTTCAAACATATATTTTATTCAAAAATAAAAACATCATCGCTTTCTCAAAATCACATAAAGCCATATTATAACATCGACTGAGATAAAAAATAAAATGAAATATTAAAATCATGATGTATCTCGCTGCATTACGCGAATACACTTATGTATATATATATATAGAGAGGAGCGATCAAATGAAAACCACTTCAATTTGTAAAAACCGTAAAAACTACTCTCATCCGTCAATTTCATTGTTTAATCTTATGAAATTTTTTTCATGAAATTGTTTAATCTTGTGAAAT